AACAGAAGTGGTTGAGAAAAGCCTCATCCTACAGTACAACTTGTTACCAACTATTGGTTGAACTGAAACACAGACATCTAATTCAAAATCAAAATACCACCACTCCCAGACACAAGGAGCTCATACACAAACTATGTCATATGCACTCGCTAATTCATGCCAAACATTTCTACTGAAATTGAAGCAACTGACAGCAATGGGAATTTTAACTGACTCTTTAGGCTCATCACGCTACAAAGGAGAGCTGAGAGAAAATCTGGTCAGTTTTATTTGACCCATATCTACCTAACTTCGTTGTTCACTTCTGCTTAATGTCCCAAAGCACTACTCCAAGCCCAAGCTGAAATTACATTTCTGGATTACTAGCAACTGCAGGAAAATAAATCACATCTGCCCCAGGAGTGAACCCAAAACCAAAAGCAGCCACAGAGAGGAATTTGTGAGTTGAGCTTAGAGTCAACTTTAATACTACGGAAATGAACCTTTAAAAAGAAAATTCAAATAACAATCTATGTAGACAAAACATTAATCTACACTGCTCTAATAAATTTTGGGGCCTTTTAAAACTTTTTTTTCCTTAAATGGATATCTGCTAGAGCAGAACTTCTCTGATAAGATGGCTTGGGGCCAAATACAGTATAATAAAGACATTTGTGCTCTATCTTCATCAAACCTCATAGGTATACTTCCATTTCCTAAAGGAACATCCAGTTATTCAGACATCTCTAGAAAAGATTCCTATGAAGAAGTAAACCATCTGCACACCCCCACACCCCCAACACCAATTTCTGTTTTCCACTTGTACTTATTAAGCTAGCCCAGGAGAACAGTAGTTTTTGAAGGCACAAACAAATACTATTTATATAGCCATGCTAGGTAAAAAGGCTCTGAATGGGGCTACAGCATAGTTCTGCCAATAGGTCATGGGGAAACCACACCAGAATAAGGCCAACATACTCTCTTCTAGTGAGGCTAACACAAGGCCTCCTCTGTGGATGGCTACAGCCTACCCCTCTACATGTCTAGAGTAGTAGTATTCAATAGAAATATAATGGGAAACAAAGATGTAATTTCAAATTTTCCAGTGGCCACTTGAAAAAAAAGAAAGAGCAGGTGAAATTAATTTTAAGATTATAGTTTATTTAATTCAGTGTACCTAAAACATTATCATTTTAGCATCTAATCAATATTTAAACATTATTAATAAGATATTTTACTTTTTTTTCCCCAAAGTCTTCATAATCAGATATTTTACAGTTACAACACATCTCATTTCATACCAGCCACATTTCAGATGCTCAACAGCAAGATGTGACTAGTGGCCACCATACTGAACAGCACGAATCTAGAATGTTTATCATGACAGTTGTTTGCTGAATAAATTAAAAGATCAAAAAGCTTTTTATTATACTATTGATTCTCCCAATATCCCATTGAAGCAAGTAAGAGATATTAGTTTCATGGGCAGCAAACAAAGCTTTCTGAGAAAAGGAAGCTGGCTTATTTACCCCAAATCAAATCATGAATAGAGCTGGAAAATTTTCTGCTCATCTTCAAGTTTAGAACTTGCTACAAAAGACCAAGCCTTTTATGTATGTACAGTCACAAAACCAAACCTATCAGACTATTCTCACTAAAAAGATGGCAAATTTGCAAATCTCTATCTATTTAAATTTAATTCCCAGTTTTTTCAGCCATATAATCCCACCCATTCCTTTTCGGATAGCTGGCAACTTTATCTCCTCTCCTGCTAGCCTACTCAAATCCTTTTCCATTTTGTTATAAGCCAGATCAAACAGTTCCCATTTCAACTCTACAGCTGGAAATTGTAAAGGAAATTCTGAACAAAGTATAAGGTTCTCAGGTATAGTGAACAAAACACCAAACTGAATAGAAAACATTCACATATAGTAACTTCTAACTTCAAAGTAACCAGCCAGATTCTTAAAAAGGAAAAACAATCACCAAATCTTACAATAATAAAACTATAAATTGGACTTTCGATCTATTGCAATGACCCAAAGCCCTTAAAAAATAAAAAATAAAGAAGACAACTCATAGAATCAATTTGATTAAAAAAAAAAAAAAAAAAGACCACAGATTAGAGCACAGTTATAATTCAAACCCTAACCCAACCACTATGTGCCTTGGGTAAATTTTTTAACCCTGTCGAATATGCTTCATCATCTGTAAAAAGGATATTTAGTAGACTCTACCCCTAATACAGCTGTAGAAAAGATTACACAAAATAAAACATTGTATTTGGGTGCTAATAAATGTTACTTAACTCCTAGACCCTAGACCCATTCATTTCTTTAATTTGTGTAAAGCAGAAATTACTAACCTGAATTTATAGCTCTAATATCAATAGAAATAGAAACACTATGACACAAAATTTTCTTTCTGTTCTCTTCAGAATGGGGTAAGGGCTGGGATGGTAAAAAGCTCAGCTACATGCTGAGAACAAAGGTCTGTAAAGCATGCTAGTAACTTCTGTTATCAGCAGTTCAACTACCCCCTAACTCAGTACTCCCTCACATCACGCATGTAACAATGTCAGTATTAAGGTGGTGAGCACTATCATAGAAGAACGCAGGGAGTATTAAGGGAGTCCAGACAAAACACTTAGCACATCCTGGAGAGATGTCAGGGAAGGCTTCCTGAAGGAGTACTCACTTGATCTGAGTCAAGCAGGCAAAAAATGGTGAGGAAAACAGGGAGAGGAGTGGAAAAGGAAAACCTAGAAAAAGTGTGAATAAAGACAGGATGTGGAACAATACACAGTAGATACAGGAGAACTGAGAGCAGTTCTACAGCCAGAATATGAAGTGCTGTTGGGTGCATGAGGAGAAAACAAGAGAAGCAGACAGGGCTGTGGCCATGAAGGGCTTCACACAACAGAGGAAGGACCTTGGACTTTATCCTGTTGATGACGGGCAGGGGCAAAAAACAAGGCTTGTCACTGGAAATCAAAGAATTGGCACAAGTGAAAAAGAGGAAGGAAACCTGTGGTGGGAAACCAGACTGAGGGTCACTGTAAATGACAGACAACAGATCAAAAGGAATAAAAATTGTTTCACTGAACTTATCCATTATTTCAGCCACCTTTTCTAGAAAATACAAAAGCACACAGAGAAAGAAACATTTTTCAATAGAAAAGAGGCATTTATTAAACAACCTGGGGTAAGAAATTTGGGTAAAATATCATTTCACTGGGAAAGCTTACTCTAAGAGCAGACTATTCTACTTAGTATCAAAGCAGGAGACTGAGTGTGATATCAAAGAAAAACCAGCAACAAAATTACAATATCGTTCAATCTTTATTCTTATCACAAGCCTTAGTACTACTGAGAGTCACTCTCCCACAGGGCAAAAAGAGATTAGAACAGGGTCAAGCTCCTAATAAGTATCTCATCCTGCCCAATACTGTGAGGATCATTACAAAGAGAAGAAAATATTTTCAGTTATTATTTGTCATGTAATTAACTTTACAGTAATTTTTAAATTAAAAAAATGGCCTCTGAAAAATCTACCAGAAAAATGTCAAATGCTAGAGGAAGAGAGAATACAACAGAAAGAGCAGAGTGTTAGGAGTGAAGTTCTAGGGCCGGCCCGGTGGCGCACTGGATAGTGCGCCGCTTGGGAAGCGCGGCGGCGCTCCCACCCGAGGGTTCGGATCCCACATACAGACCGGTTCCCGCTCACTGGCTGAGCGAGGCGCGGGAGCAACACCGAGGGCTGCGATCCCGTTGCCGGTCCCCGGTCCGGTACGGGGGCAACACTGAGGGTTGCGATCCGTTGCCGGACACGGAAAAAAGACCAAAAAAAAAAAAAAAAAAAAGGAGTGAAGTTCTAGGATCAAGACACCATGAAAAAATTCTAGGGGAAGTCCAATTCTAGGGAAACCCAGTGGGAAAGTAGTAAAAGGGACAAGTTTGGGGATTAAGAGCAGAAATGTGTGTCCTTCCAGGAAATCATGTTACTGAAGTTTTAAATCCTTTTTACCTTTTTCTATTCATAGTCTACAGCTCTAAAGAGTATTCTAAATAATTTGATGCTAAAAGTAAGGAAAAGCAATTCAGAGATGCTGAAGAATACTAGGCAGTAATGGCTGCAATGCAACATCAAGACTTCTTTGCAGGGGACAATCTGTCACTGGCACCATAGTTTCTTCTTACAACACAAACTCACTTCTTGGGTTTCCACATTAAATCAATCAATTTCCTCAAAAAGGCTCAGTTCTTAATTAACTCTACTTTCAGTAGATAAACAAATAGATATAAAGAGAAATTAGAACCAAATGTCTGCGTAAGTTCACTCGACTTTCATCAATAAGTGAGAAACCCTCTTAAAACAATGTAAGAAACTTCCAAGAGGCTAAAAAATTAAGTGAGACTGCTCTTCTGTTAGAGGCAGAAAAATCTATTTATATGGTGTGCACAAAGGGATACAAGAAGGAAAAAAACATAAATGTAAGATAGACATCATAAAAACGTCATCAAGACTCCTGCCCAGCCCTTTGCCTAGGCATGGGACGTGACAGAAAGACAGGACAGATTTCTGTCCATGAACAAACAATGAGCTCTGAACTCTTGTGGTCTGTACAATTTATTTTGGGATATAAGTATTTTTTTTTTCCTCTCAAACATTTATTAAGCATCTACTATGTTTCACGTAACACACTGCTTTTCCCAGATAATCAGCTCAGGGCCTATCAGTAATGCTCTTCTCTGATATTTGCCATAACACCTAGCACAGTGCTGAGTTCAGAGTACCCGCCCAATAATACCTTTGAAAATATGTCTTCTTCAAGTGAACACAGGAGAACATACAGGGTTAGCACTATACTCAACAATCTAACACGGAGATCCCTGCTCAGTTCACACACTGGTTCAAGAGCACCCCTAAGATAACTCATAAAAGGTGCCCACTTCAATAACAGTCTTCCTCTGGTTACCAATCCACAGCCCATTCTGGTAGATTCGCGACACTCTACATACCTGTCCACTGAGGGGGGCAGCGGCAATTGTATGTATTAACCCCGTCCACACAAACCCCTCCATTCTGACACTTGTGTTTAGGGCAGTCATCAATATTCCACTCACAGGTGCTCCCTTCAAAACCTGGAAAGAGAAGAACAAAAGAAAATCGTGAATTCTCATACAGAAGAAGTGCTCTGCTCTTCTCCCACAGGACATGGTCGTCAGAACAGATCTGCTTCATGATTTCAGTTAAAGAGACAGCAGCTGCCCAGCCCAGGACTCACCATATGAAAAATCCCCCAATCCTCTGTCTTCTCTGGCCTCCAGCATAGCTAGACAGTGAAAGTGACTCATTATGCCAATGACATGCCTTCATAATTACCTCACAAGCATTTAAAAGTGTTTTCATAAAATAAAATCCCAGGGAAGATAAATGCCTACTTGGGACAGATACTCACTGGTTCTAAAAAACAGGGTATTAGATTTTCCCCAGCTCCACACTAGACTAATGGGAAGAACAAATAAAAGATTACCTAATTAAATTTAAGTTCCTTTTATTTTTTTCTTGGGTGACTGCTCAAGGAGGCCTCCAAAACTAGGTAGGGAAGGGGAACATAGGAAAAATACTGAACTTAATGTTTGACAATATGGGTCAAGTCTCAATCTTACCACCTACAAGCTATCTAATACACAGTAAGTTACAAACTCTGAATCAGCTTCCTCGTCCGCAAAATGAGGCTGATTCCACTTGCCCAGACTGCCTTTCTAGATTATAATAAGTGCCACACCATGAATGAAGTGTGATACAAATGTTAAAAGCTATCTGAAAATGAGGTGTTATTACTACTAATTAAATTTACCAGCACTTTGAATTCTTCATGCTCCTCTCTACAGTTATAGCATTGCTTCCTTCCTCTTGATTTTTCCCTTTTACAAAAAATGAAACTAGGACACCAAACCCCACCCTAACTGCCTGAGCATGCCCCTCTATAATTTATACATTAGGCTTCTTCCTTTCTCTTTCCTTGCTACCAAATCCCTCAGCTAATAAAATAGAAGACTACCAGCTTTCATACAACAGAATGGTCAGTGAACATTCTCATACTTGAAATATAGTATGACTAAGTATTGGGACTCCTCAAAATATCCCTTAGGATTCCTCTCTCTCACTCAAAACATTTATTGGGTCTTACACTAGACACTGGGGATGTAAGAGTGAGCAAAAGAGACAGAGTCCTGGATTTCATGGCATTTACAGCTTGGGGGGTGGGACAGACATCAATCATACCTTGTTTTATTCATTCCTTACCACAAGATACTGTGGTAGTCTACATCTGCTCTGCTACACAGGAACAGGCTGGTTTCTCTGAATATAGTGGAGTTCATGAAAATGAGTATGAACCCAAAAAATTACCCGGAAATCAAAGGAAATCACTTCATGGAAGATGGAAATAACTGAAGGTTTGATCAAAGGGAATTATATTTTTTCTAGGTATTTGGTACCCAGTCCATTCAAGCAGATGAATTACTAAGTAAGCCTGTGAAAGACTAAGAAAATGCAGACTTGGATTTGGATTTTTAAAAATGCATCATTACTCATATTTCTCTTTAATCATATGAAAAGTCTTACAAATGGACTAATGAATCAGAAAATGTTGAAGTGTTTAAGCCCACCCTTAATTTTGATCAAGAAAGTGAGGCCAAATCTACAGATCTACCAGGCAGCAGCCCCTGAATAACTGAGGTCTGTGTTCCTAGTCTAGTGCTCTCCATGGAGATTTTCTTTAGAAAAGTTAAAGGTACAGTTTTAGATTGTTGGGGAATCGAGCATCTGGCCTACCACTGCCAGACCTTGTGTGGTCTGGTGGTGCACTGGAACTGGTGATGGTCATTCTCCCCTAACTTGATCTCTCTGGTGACTAAGACAAAACATCGTTGACTAGAGTGTCAGGGAGGTGGTAAAGCGCTTGTAGGTAAGCTATAAGGAATAGAAACTGTAACTCTGACTTTATGTTAGCCAATGTTACAACTAACTGAATCTACTAACCATAGGAAAATTAAGAAAGCAGAAGCATTTCAGCATAACAACAATAGATAAGTAATAAAATATTTTCTTTTTATGACTGATTGACTATTTTTGAGGTACTTCTTCCCTGTCAATAGGTATGTAGGTAAGAAGACAGGTAGGTGAGAGAGTTAACTCATGGTTAAAAGCATGGCTTCTGGGGCCACCACTCAGGCTCAACTCTCAACCTTGCCATGCAACAGGTGAGTGAAAGTGGACAAGATTCTTAAACTTTCTTTCCTCCTTGGGGGATTGGCAGGGCCTACCTCAAAGGGTTTTTGTAAAGATTAAATAAGTTAGATATAAAAAGCACTTAATTCAATAAATGGTGCTGGGAAGACTAAATATCCACATGCAAAATAATGAAGTAGGACCCCCTCCTCACACAAAAATTAACTCAAAATGGATCAGAGACCTAAATGTAAGAGCTAAAATTATAAAACTCTTGAGGGGAAAAAAAAAAAAAAACAGGAATAAATCTTTGTAACTTGGGCTAAGCCAAGTTTTCTTAAATATGACCAAAAGCAGAAGCAACAAAAGAAAAAATAAATAAATTGGACTTTGTAAAATTAAAAACACTTGGGTTTCAAAGGATACCCTTAAGAAAATGAAGACAGCCCACAGAATGGAAGAAAATATTTGCAAATCATAAACCTGATTAGAGACTTGTATCTAGAATATATAAAGAACTTTTATAATTCAATAATAAAAAGACAAATAACACAATTATAAAATGGCTAAAGGATCTGAATAGACATTCTCCAAAGAAGATACACAATTGGCCAATAAGCACATGAAAAGATGTTCAACATCATCAGCCATCAAGGAAATGCACATCAAAACCACAATGAGATACCACTTCACATCCATTAGGATGGCTATAATCAAAAAGACAGATAATAACAAGTATTGACAAGGATATGGAGAAACTGGAACCCTCACACACTGCTGGTTAGAACATAAAATAGTGTAGCCACATCAGAATACAGTCTGGCAGTTCCTGAAAAGGTTGAACAGAGTTACCATATAACCCAGCAACTCTGCTCCCAGGTATATTCCCAAGAAAAATGAAAACATATGTCCACACAAAACTTCTACAAGAATGTTCACAGCAGCATTACTCATAATAGCCAAAAAGTGGAAGCAATCCAAATGTCAATCCCCTGATGAATGGATAAATAAAGTATGGTAAATCCATACAGTGAAATATTATTCAGCCATGAAAAGGAATGGAGTATAATGGTACTTCAAGAGTTTATGGAAAAATAGAATTAAAAGATAACATGAATCTTTCCATGAATATTTTCCATGAACCTCATATTGATTCATACTACAATATGAATGAACTTTGAAAACATTATGCTAAGTGAAAGAAGCCAGTCACAAATGACTACATATTATTTGTTTCCACTTATATGAAATGTCTAGCATAGGCAAAGAGACAGAAAGTAGATCAGTAGTTGCCTAGGGTGGGAGGGAGTTAAGAGGAATGGGGAGTAACCGATAACGGGTACAGAGTTTCTTGTGGAGTATAAAAATATTCTAAAATTGACTGTGGTGGTAGTTGCACATATCCATAAATATAATAAAAACCACTGAATTGTACATTTTAAAAGAGCAAATCGTAGGGTATGTAAATTATATCTCAATAAAGCTGTTATAACTCATATAAGGGAGGGAAAGCACTTAAAACCATGCCTTACACATATTAGCTAATGTTATTATTTATCCATGGGATTATAGCATCCCTTTGAGATATCTATTCTAATCCTTTTATGTTACAGATGAAGAAGTTGAGGCTGACTCAACTTCTTCTTGAGTCACATGGCCGACTTGCCCAACATTATGGGGCTAGTACTAAACCAGAAGCTTCACCCAGTTTTAGTCACTATGTTTTCTGGGACTCCAGAGTTCCCTTTCAACAATCTGAAAAACTGACCTTAGGTCAAAAGCTCCCATGTCTGAGAAAACTCAAGCCAAGTCAGTTCTCTTCCAAAGTTAAGACAGGATTTATGCTTTAAAAATAGAGATACAGAACTCTTTTTGGAAAGAGCTAGCAAATTCTTGTAAGAAACAGTCTACCCAAAGGTAGGGGGGAGTATAAGAATAAGTTAAAATGTAGTCACTTCTTAAAAACATATTTTAAGTTTTTAAGGGAAAGGGAAACAGACGAGTCTCCAGACCTGTGGGTGGGATGGGTGTAGCAGATTCACAGAGAGGCTCACATGACTGTACTAAAAGAAGTCTACTGCTTAAAGCCAATTTGCATCCTTAAAAGGCCAAAAGGAGAGAAATTAAACTTAGAAGGAACATTTTAAGACTCTGCTGTTATAAAACCATGGGCCACTTAACTGATTAATGATGGCAGTGAGGGTAGGAAGCACAAAAGAGCTTTTTGAACTTGTTATACCACACAGGGTACAGCATCTCTCAAGAGAACACCATAACTTTGTTTCCAGTCCCTGGAAGGTGTGAGGGTTGAAAGGCTCAGTGGAAGGGAGCAAAGAAGAGAGCACAAAGGGGAACATGAGATGATACAACCAGGATTCTCTCAGGCCACGCTGAAAGTCCTCAGGAAAAGCTTCCATAAAAGACGGATGAAAGAGTGAGGGAAAAAACAGAGATACCTGGAACTGAAAAAAGGCAAAAAGATACAAGACTACCTTTCCCCCCCCCCGGGAAGAAGTCTGTCACAAAAGCAAACGTACTAAAATATGATTGGTATAATACCCTAGAAAATATCACATGCCCTTGAGTGTGAGCATGCAAAGGGTAATCCCTGTCCCATCCATGTCCAGCTGGTTTTCTTGGCAAACGTCTTCTCCAGATGAGCCCAGATTAGCACACTGACCCCATAACTGATCCATGTATCCCCCACCCACCACCCACCCAGGCTTGCTGTTCCCACCTGCCTCCCCTGATATCTCCCTAATGAGCTCCTCTTTTCTTCCAAACTTATCATCAAAACAGTCTACGAAATGAATGATTACAAAAAAAATACTTCAGTACATTAAAAAAAACTGTAGAATATAAAAATTCTCTTCTCTACTACATTTAATTCATTAATTCATTCATT